AATTCTCCTCCAAATGAGGGTGAAGTACTTCCTCTTTTACCACATGACACCATATGGTGGAACAAAGTGTTTTCTGTTTGAGAGAACCCAGCCTAAATATGCAGGATTTGTGTGTTAAACATGTGTGAATGAAACAACACAACTCCAGATGTGTTTGTGATGAGGAAACAACATTATAAGATAGATCAGCGAATAGCGCAACTTGGGCCCTTTAAGCTGTAAACATGGATCAGAAAACCGACCCATTATGCAATATTGCAATCTATCATTTTACCTGTAATATTGCAATCTATCATTTTACCTGATCCTTGCTGTACTGTTATTGCTTTAATACAAGCTAGCGCCATACACACTATTGTTTTTAGTGACTCATTGACTGACTGTACCCGCTGCCGGAACTCACCACCGCTGCACTTTCATTCAGAAAAAGAACAGCTTTGAAGCATAATGGCACGAAGCAGAGACTTATTCTGTCATTTCAGGCAAAAACAATGGACCTCGGGCACACATTGTTCTACCTCCTGCTTTCTGTACTGCCTTTGAAACTAGAAGAATATATATTTTAAATTATATTAGATACTGTGCAGGCTGCAAATGTCATCTGCTACTTTACTTTAGTGGTATTGTTTCATCTATGTTATAATGTCGCTTTCTCATCAGAAGCATAACCTTAATTGTTTTCTTCTATTCACACATGTTTAACACACAAATCCTGCATATTTAGTAGTTGTCTAAAACAGAAAACACTCTGGAGCACTTCCTGTTAACATCACAAGATGGAACACACCTTCACTAGAATCATTTGGATAATTTACCTGGAATTTCCTATCTTTAATAAACTAAAGGTTAAAGGTAGCTGTTAAATTGAAAACCGCTACCACTTCATGACATCACAAGGTGGAACAGAGCATTTTGAGCATGTGAATGAAACAAAACACATCTCCGAGTATGTTTTTAATGAGGCAACAACATTCTAGCGTGGATAAAAGCTCACAAGAGTCAATTTTGGACCATTTAATTTGAGATTTTCCAATTATAATGACAAAAATATCCACAATCTGACCTGATATCTTTCCACCTACATGCCCATCGTAATTGAAAGTTCATTATTAAATTACATGGCCATGATTGACAGGTGAGTTTCGTGGTCCTGTGAGCACAGTTTGAAGCCGGCCATCTTGAATCTCTGTCAGCCCCTCACTGGTTTGTATGGGCCATTTCCTACAACATGTCAAGGTCACATCTGCTGTGTACTGCTCTCCTGCTGCCATCTGTTTGAATGAATCAGCACAATGTGGGATTAAACAGAGCCTTATACCTGTACAACATGTTTCCTATGATCACAAAGATGAAACGCATGGACTTTGATATGGTAATTACAGCACACTTTTCAGAGTTCATTTCCAGCTCTAATATAGGTTACCAGTTATGTGAAGCAATTTTGCTTCACATCAAAAACACATTGAACAATATTATAGTTTATCAGGCTAATTGAAAATATTCGACTTAAGACATGCATCATTTACAGGCAAGAGACACAAAAATAATACATATCTATTTAAAACTTATTCTATAGTTTATACATAAATGTAAGAAACAAATATATAAGTCTTTCACGATTAACTATTGAAGTTACAATGACCCATGTAAATTTATGGCTGCTAGTTTAATAAATGAAATATTAAAACATATTTCAGCGGACAAATCAAAGTGGAGAGCTGCCAAAAGCTCTTCTCCTGCTTTGTGCTGTGCATATATGTCAATAAAGTCTGCGGCGGAACTTCTGTATTTTGCATTTGAACTTAAGAGGAGAGAGTCCGTGTGCTGCGGGGGAGTGGGGGATGAACTCATGAACAACTCAAAGCTATTGGAGAAAGAAGCTGAGTTCACGGTGATATTTTCACCACATGTCTCCAATCTAATGCACACCTTAAATATTAAAGGAAAAAGTGAACCAAAAATACTTGATGGAGCAAACAGAGCTTTATGCACCTGGAGCCTCTCCTGCACTCTACAAACGGCTGATTGACCTGCATGCTGCACTAGGGCCCAGGAACTGTTACCTGTGGGTAGGACAAGTGGCTGTGATTGTGTATAAACAGTAGTGCTCCTCATCTGAGCAGGCTGAAGTCCATCTGAATATGCATGTTTGGAAAGGACTATAAAATCACTCCCAAAACTGGAGCTTACTCACTCAAAATCTTTATTATTTGACTAAAGCCCCATCGACCAATTCATCAACTAATTTACTTAAATCCACAACCCTGTTTCCCTGCATGAACACTTTTGGTCTTTTTTATGGTGTTTTAAGATTGGGCAAACAATTGCATTGCTCTAGTAGTCTAATGTAGTGGTTCTCAAAGTGGGGGGCAAAGTGGGGTCACTGGGCAATGCATAGGGGGTCCCCCAAAAATTGTGATAACAGTTGATGATAACATAAAATAATACCATTTCTTATGATATACAGTCTCAAACATATAATGTGTTTGATGACAACAACTACACCAATAAAATAATGACTATGGTAATTAAACCTTTGACATGGTTAGAACATCTGAATTTTATTGCAACGGTATTGCAGAGGACTAGAGGGGTGTTGGGATATTTTCATACCTATAAGGGGTTCCCAGCCTCAAAAAAGTCTGAGAACCCCTGGTCTAATGTGTATTAATTTTTCTCTTTTGTTTTTAAACAAAATAAATAAAATCTACTTTTGAATTGTTTAGATTTTCCAAGTTGAATATTACAAACATATGTTCAGTCTTTCAAGTAGCCCTCATGAGTTCAGAATACTTTTAAGACTACAATCAAATCCTGATGACTTGAACATTATTGCTGGGTTTCAGATGACATCACAACTTTTTACAGGCCAATCATATTTAATACAGATGGGGGCAACTTAAATGAATAGTGTTAAACAGCAGATTTTTGTTGTAATACAGTGAGTTCTTGGGTCTCGTCACTGATAGAAAAGCTCAGGTTCAACATTCATGAATTTTCCTTTTAAATGTTTCATGGCAAAGTACAATGTAATCAATAAGAAAAAGTAGCTCATGCCCCCTCTGGTTGGATTACATCATCACATTGTAGAATCTGAAAACCACCAGTATCATTATGAAAAGCATTCATTGTTTCACACTACTAATCTTAGTTTGCCAATTGACTGATAAATTTGTATTCTATCCTTGGAACACATCAGTCATTTGCTTAATAATTAGTCTCATTCTGACACCAGTGGAAAGAATGCATTTCTCGTTCCCCTTCTCTTTCTCTTTGTCTTTCTCTATTACCTGTTACAAATCACCTAAAGCTTATTTCCCCTGGTCTACACAAGAGGAAGTGTTCTGTATCCACTCCGCCTCCCTGCCTCTGTGTGTGGAGGTGGGAGCTTGCATTTATTTGCTGCCTGTGCCTTTGTTCGTGTCAATTACAGAAATAGGCTTCTGTAGGATGCAGCCAGTGCGTTGCATGTCAATGGTGATTCTTGTACGCAGTATAATAAGCTGGTTTATTATATTAGGGAAATGTGTTGTGTGCATGCAGAGTGCGGCCAATTTAAGCCATCTGAAACTTGCTGTGCTTGGACCTAGGTCAGCGTATATGCCAAATATGATTGTAAAACTCTTTTCAAATGTAATTCAGTGTGATATTAGAGTTAATAAGAGTTTCATGTGCGAGGATTTTCAAGGTTGAGTTTTTATGATGGAGTTATTGGCAATATGTTTTCACATGCAGAAGATCGTGTTTAGTTTAAATTATCAATCGCTATGGCAACGGTCCTACTTTCTCATCATCCTGAAACACATACATAAGCATTTTAGGTGTGGAAGATGTGCTAAAAAATATCACTTACTTGGCATTAAAGGGCCCATATTCCGATATTTTCTGATCTGTTACTGTTTGTTGATTCCTCATCACAAACATACCTGGAGTTGTGTTTTGTTTCATTCACACATTTAACACACTGTGCTCTACTATGTTTTTAAACTCCATACGCTTTCATTAGAATCATTTGGATAATTTTAGCCATGGAAATGCAAATCTCTACTGAACAAAAGGTGAAAAGTAGCTGTTAAAAAAAAAATTCCAACAAGTGTGAATGAAACAACACAACTCCAGGCGTGTTTTTGATGAGGTAACAGCATTCTAACATGACTAAAAGCTCACCAGAGTCAATTTTGCATAATATAGACCAGGGGTGTCAAACTCAAATTCACAGAGGGCCAAAATTAAAAACTGGGACCAAGTCATGGGCCAAACTAAATTTTTATTGAAAAATTTTGAGAACATCTGCATGTTTTCTCCACTTTCAAGATATGTAATGTTAAACCTTTTCTTATTAAAATAAATGTTTAATAATAGTTTTGCTTAAACGTTGAGTCCAGAACAAATATAATACAAAATAATAACAACATTTTAAATAAATGTCTCTGTAGCCTATCTGTAACTGGCAGGCCAGCTATTTGATATGATCTCGCGGGCCAAATATAATTTTATCCCAGGCCAGATTTGGTTCCCGGGCCTGAGTTTGACATGTCTTATATAGACCTTTAAATTGTCAATCGCTATGGCAACTGTACTACTTTCTCATTCTGAAACCCATGCTTAAGTTACTGTAGGTTAGGAAGATATGCCAAAAAATATCTACTTGGCTTTAAGGTTTAGGCATAACTTATTGTGGCTTATGGAAGTATGCCCTTTACATTTGACCCACGTTTCAATTTCTATTCTTTCAAGAGATAAATAAAGTAATGTACTTCTTCTGAAAGTTCCCACCTCCACTATGATTGAAGTCTAACTTGAGTCACATACAGTAGCTTTAGACATAGTAATACCTTTAGTTAGTATCACACCCCCAGTGAATGTTGATGAAATCAGCTGTAAAGTGAACACTGTTTACACTTGCTGCTACTACTTTAAATGATGTGACTGTAGACTCGGTTCATGTACATATTACTGGCTACATATTGTATTCACTGGTGATTTTTGTCTGTTTTTAGTGACTCCGAGGGACGCAAACTCTGTAAGAAAGTGAAAGTGGACCCTGGATCCAAATTTGCGGGATTCGAAATGCTGCATTACAAGTGAGTACAAGCAGTCAACCTGTTACTATAAATTATGTAGCTATAATTTGTCTTACAGGAGAATTGGATTTTATTTTGTTTTAATATTCTGATTCCGTTCACAGTGCACCTTTTTAAACACTTTGATATCAGAACATTAAAGGGCCCATATTGCGCTATTTTCTGATCCATTATAGTATTGTTTCCTCATCTCAAACTTGGAGTTATGTTTTGTTTCATTCATTCTTCATTATTTAACACAAACCCTTTGTATTTAGGCTAAGTTCTTATCTCAAACAGAAAAAACTTGCTTCCACCTTGTGATGTAATTTGGTAATAAACAAAGTGCTCCATTGTGTTTTTAAACTCCAAGCATCTTCACTAAAATGGTTTGGATGATTTTAAGGTTTTGAATTGCCAATCTCTGCTCAACTAAAGGCAGAAGGTCGCTGTTAATTTGAAAACTACCACTTCATGACATCACAAGTTGGAAGAGTATTTTTGGAGATGTAGACAGTGTAGACTAATAATAAATGATTGCTCAAACATGTGTGAATGAAACACAACTCCAGGTATGTTTTTGATGTGGTAACGACATTATAACATGCCTTAATGCTCAGTTTTACGTAATATAGCCCCTTTAAACTACAATTTTCTGCAGGTTTTATGCATAATGACTTTTAGATCTCTGCAGAGACTTTCTATTACCTGAATAATTGCAGTCTTCATGATTTACTAATTGCGACTGCTCATATTCATTTATCTTGCAGCTATACTCTGAACTGTAAATATTGTTTTAAGTCCTGTCATCTTTGCTAAATGGTTTTGTTACGCGCAGCGAGCCAACTTCCTTTATAGGGATATTAAATTACGTATAACATCTTTATAACGCTTGATTTTGTATTTCCTGGCTTTGAAGCTTACTGTGACCAACTGTGTTTCAGAGATGGAACATTTCACACAGAGTACAACAGACCGACTACTTTCAAGGTGAGGAGCACACTACACTGGTATTTAAAGATGCATTGTGTAACTTTTTGGCGAGGAGTGACGCAACAAGCTTTTCTCCGGGGGGCTTAGTCGTTCTGCCTACTTCAAAGCCTGCTAACAAAGCTTTCTAACATGGACTTTAGAACAGAGAATTCAAATTTTAAAAAGTTTCGAGTGCATTTGACAGATAGATTAATATAGTTTTTTCCATTTATTTTTATCTGGTTTGGAGGTATAGTATCCAAGGTAAATCAGTCAAGTGACAGTTTGTGAAGAGAAGTAGAAAACAAAAAGTTCCAAACTACAGGAAGTAGCAGTGAGTTCAAAAAGCTCTACCTGTGTCATCAAATGTTAAAAATTCCGTCCAAAATGTAGAGACAATTTATGCATAAGGACAGTTTAAACAAGATAAAGGTGTTTTGATTTATTTTTATTTTATTTCTCAAGTCTGTTGTTGTAATTTTGGCCTTGTTAACATTATGGTTGCTAGGTGACATAAGCAAATTCTGACATAATGGTATGGTAAATCCATATCTGTTGCCCATAGCCAACCAGGAAGTAAAATAATGAACTTCACCAAAATAAAAATAAACAAAAGAAAAAGAGTCTAAATAAAATCTTAAATATAATTATGGTAAAGTAAGAAAGGTTAAAACTTAAAACTCTGTTAAGTTATTCATTTAGCGATATCATAATAGTTACCACCTCAGTTATCACACAAGCTTTCAAACTTTTATTATATAATTTATTTATTTTTTTGCTTTACCTTGAATGTTCCACAGTACAGCATTAAACTTGCATTTTTTTAAGGGCAGATGTTTTGCTGCTTGAAACATACAGTGAAAAATATGCATTCTTACTCTGAGCAGGGTCACCTTTCCAGAGATATAACCTGTAAGACAGTCTAGTGTTGACGTGTGCTTGTGTCCGTGGAGTGGATAAGTTTAATGCCGTACTGTGGAACATTCCAGGCAAAGCAGTAATGTCTCAATGACAAGCAGATGGGTGGCCCTCCCGCAGAAAGGTTTCACAGTACACCTTTAGTATTGCTTTAATTTCATGCATGGTTTAACACTAATGAATACAATAAAGACAGCTTGGAGCTCATTGTGACTTTATCAGAGTACATCAGCGTGGTTTCAATAAAGGTGGACATGTTTTGGCTGCTGTAAGTTACACCTGCACTGAAATTTTCTAACAAGATGCAAGAATCATTTTACATTGAATTGCAAATGTAATCACTGTCTATTGCATAAGAAGTGCCATCTAATCTGAATTTTTTCACTTTTGTTATTTATGCTGCGGAATATATTCAAAGACGACAAATATTGAAATGATTTTTCTTACAATTTTAATGACTTGAGAAATTAGACTATTAAAAATCTCGGAAATAAATACAACTGTTGGCTAGGTAACTTCATAGCTTATTAGTCCCCACGCTTCCAAACTTATTTAATCGTTTTATTTTATTATTTATTCATTTTTAAATCGGTGTATTCATTTTTGAAAATTCATTGGAAAAAAAAATAGAAATTTTACATCCAGAACCAAGTAGTGGGTTTTATTACTACTGAATTCCATTGAGATGTTACAGCTTTACTTTGAATGTTCCACAGCATGGCATTACATTTATATTCAGTTAATTAAATTTATTTGCTTCTAAAAACTAAATACCGTATTTTCCGGGGTACTGGGGACGCACTTAAGCCTCCAACCCCATCAAAAAACGACTGCACGCCCCACAATCCAGAGTGCCCTATACACGAATCCACTCAGGTGTCCCAGCACGACTTCAGTAAACTACAAAGCCGCACCACCCGCAGAACACGCAAACACACACGGAGCAGACAGCGACCGCGCAGCGAAACACACCCACAGCCACACTCATCACTCCACACAGACGAGGAATGGAACAGAGGAATGAACCAAAAAAGCGAGTGCAATGTGCCACTCTGAGCCACAACTGAACAATTGAGTCACTGCGAACACGCCAAACAATCCAGCGGTCCCAGACAGCACCCTCCCCACACGCCACAACTGAACAAAGCTGAGAGTCACCATGAACGCCACAAACAAAGTCCCACTGACCCATCCAACTGTTGTGTTTCATTTAAAGTCCGGTGCGGTTTATTTGTGAAAAAAGTTCGAAAATAGACCATTCTATGACAGTGTGCCTTATAACTCAGAGCGCCTAATAGTGCGGAAAATACGATACTATGAACTGTGCTTACTGTGAGCAGGGTCACTTCTCCATAGATCTGACCTGTAACTTGTAAAAGCAAACTCACTATCTGATCTGATTGTAGCCACGTGTTGTTATTCCAAGGTTTTATGCTACACAAAATGGACTCTAGCGAGATGTAAGTCTTTTTAGAACGTTGTTACCTCCTCAAAAACATGCCTGGAGTTGTGTTTTGTTTCATTCACACATTTGAGTAACCCTTTATTATTAGTCTGTCTATATCTCCAAAGCTCAAAATGCTCTGTTCCACCTTGTGATGTCATGTAGTAGTAGTTTACAGCTACCTTTAATCTTTTGTTCACTATGCAGTTTAAAAACACAGTGGATCACTTCCTGTATTCCCACATCACATCAAGATACACACAAGGTAGAACAGAGTGTTTTCAGTTTGAGAGAAGAAGTCAGCCTAAATATGCAGGATTTGTGCGCTCAACATGTGTGAATGAAACAAAACACAACTCCTCACACTTTTTGATGACAAAACATTATAACAGAGATCAGAAAACAGTGTAATATAAATCCTGTAATGAACAAAAATGTACTATCTGCTACAACAGAATGAAAAGTAGTGGGGTCATATCATAAGTCAGACATATTAATTCAAACAGATTGCTTGATGTTTGTTTGAGAACTCAAACTTACTCTTCTCTATGCCAAGTTGTGTAGTGTCATCATCAAATGCATTATCATTCTTTCGGGCTGTAATAAGACGACATAGGGCTGATTTATCCGTCAGATCCTCTCTCCTTTGGGACGCTTATCTCATTTTTATTTGACAGCTGCGATTTTACGATTCTGTTTGTTATTTTTGCCCGTAAGTCTTTCCCCGCTACGATGGCACCACTTCAAATGGCACTAAACTCAAGCGAGAATTTCTCTAAGCATCTTGATAACTCCGCCATGATCATAACTATTCATTTGGTACGCATGACTTAAATCTACCCCGCTGTTTTTCTTAGCTAGCATATGGTTCATTATATTTACAATGTGGACACTTAGAAAATACTTGAAGCTTTGGAGATGCGTTGACACCTCGTGAAGGAGTGAACAAGCTGCTGGTTTTTTGTGGTTCCATCTGGCAACCCCGCAGCGCTCAGAACTAAAATTAGGATGAAAAATGCCACCATCTTCAAACAAACCAGCGATGGGGCTTATTTTGATTTTTGTTGCTGTTACTTATAACCCATGTTTGTCAGTTTCATTAGAAATGTTTTCTAATCAACAGCAAGTTTCTCAAATTGTAGCCAATCTCGCAAATGAACTTGCAATTAACAGCATGTTTGATGATGTGTGAATAATTGTGTTTTAGTTTTATTTAAAGGTGCACTGCATAACTGTTTTGACTCTTTGCCTGTTCCCTTGTGGATGTTATTGGGGTTTTTTTGGAATGTTCTCCAGTATGGCACTTAATTTAACTATCTCCATGGAGAGAAGTAGCCACATCAGCAAGCCAAGTTGTTTTTATGGTAGTTTTGAGAAATAAAAAGTCACGATGTATTTGTTTAATGCCATACAATGGAACATCCCAGGCAAAACAATAACATCACCATGGAGACAAGCAGATGGCAGACCCTCCACCATAAAAGTTATGCAATGTACCTTTTAAATGGAACACATGCAGTGGTCTCTTATTGTTTGCATACTCAAAGTTTCATCTTGATTGATTCTTCATGTTTGAGTAATCCTGTACTCAGAGATTTTCTGCTTTCACCTTCCCCCTGTTCTTTTCCACTGATTATTAAAAACAAAAACTGCAGAAATCTGGTTCCAAAATGTCACATAGCTATTCTTATTAAACAACAAAAATACGTGAATTGAAATCCACTGTTCGCTGTGGTGAAATGTGAGTATGAACCGTTGTTAACTGTGTACCCTTTAATTTTTCTTTTTAGTCGATGGTGGCTTTTCTCAAAGACCCTTCAGGCCCTCCGCTGTGGGAAGAAAACCCAGAGGCAAAAGACGTCGTTCACATCGAGACAGAGAAAGTAAGTGAAAATATGTATATTTAATATGGATGTATGGATTTGGCTTTCATTTTGTTCAGATTGTGTCAGTAGGAGTAGATTTTGAATTACATAGACAATGGTGTTTACATGGTCTATGTAAACACCAAAAATGTTTGTGGTCATGTCAGTGGGATCAAGTGGTTCAAATGAGGCAAAACAAAACGTACAGCTTCAAGAAATACACTGTGTTTTGGCATACAACACTAAAGTTGATTGAATGAGAATGACCTGCATACAAGACCATAGGGCTGCAGTTTTTTAGCTGTTTAGTAGATTAATCAGTGGATGGTCAGTTAGTCCACTGATTTGCATTTTACTGAATCATTTACTATTTTGCTGTGGCATATACCAAACACAGTACATTTTTTTTGTTTAAATGTTGTAATTTTGTATTATTTTAGTGGGTGGTGTAAAATGTAATCTTTTTAACCAAAAAAGTGTGTAGTGACTCTTAAAAAAGGTTGATAAACACTAAGTAGTTGACCAAATAGTGTATTAATTAGGCATGGTACAATTTTCAAATTTGGTGTCATGATTATCATGGTTATAATAATTGCGATTAACGATTTTTAGGGATGTAACGATATCCAAATCTCTCGGTATGATATTATCACAATATGCATCTCACAGTACGATATTTATTGCAATATTTTCAAGAGGCTAATGTAATTGTAGATGGGACACTTTTTTGCTTTTAAAATACCTTTACAAGATTTTGGTGTGAAATATTTCCATCATAATCTCAAAAATTCAAGTACAAAACATTTCTTCATGTTGTCTGCACTGAAATGAATCATGGGATATGTAGTTTATACTTACTGTACTTTTGAAGATACGATATCACAATATTTTGGTTATTATTACATACATCACGATAATTATTAAACCTGCTGACAATTAAAAAATGTTACGCATAGGATTAATTATACTTCTACTATTATGAATAAGTTCCATATTATATAACAACTGTTACAGAATTGTTCCTTGTTATAAGTGAAAATAACAATGATCCAGAAGAATACATCAAGGATAAATAGCTTTTTTCAGCGCATTCAGGGGATAAAATGGCTATTATCTTGGTTGGCGATTATATAAAATGTCTCTCAAACAATCCCCAGAATTAATAAACTAATATCTTTATTAGGATTATAAGAATTGATATGCACCACAGCATGAAGTACATTTATCTTGAAATTTGGGGGTGACTGGACATTCTGGACATCTCTTCACTTATAAATCTACAGTTTACCAGTACATCTGTTGTTTTTGCGCAAGATTCTAATAATTTTGAAAGCTTTTTGCCAACGCCTTGCCATGATTAATTGATGCAAAGGGCATAAACCAAAAATTTCTTAAATTGACCAAGCTATAATACAATAACGTGAACATCTTGCATACTCAGAGGAGAACTGATGTATGTGTTGTCTCATACATAGTTGAAAACCATATGAATCCAGCGGTATCATGGCTCCTGCTGCTGTCTGTTTGAGCTGTTTGATCAGTAACAAAAGCTGACACAGTTGAACCTCTACCTCCACTAGACCCCATCACTGGAAACATGAAAGCTTCATGTCCAAGGGCTGCCAGGTGAGGAGCCTTCTTAGAGCTATTCTCCAAACCATCTCCTCGGCTGTCAAAATACTTCCTTTAAATTGACAACAAGACATCCTTTGTGTACAATAAAGTCTTTTGGAAAAATATAGTTCAGTAAGAATAAACAGTTGAATAGGTTTGTAGGTATAAAGGGTTTAAGCAATAATAGCAAATTGTGATTTTTGGTATTTGTGTATTTGAAGTTGAGTACGTGTTTTAAAATCCTATTCAGTTGACAGTGCAGATGACTAAAATATGAACTGCTAAACAAAATCCCATGCATTTCAGAACACGTCTGTAGAGTTAAAGGGTTTATAATAGGGATGTAACAATATCCAAGTCTCGCGATACCATATCATCACGGTATGAACCTCACGGTATGATATTTATTGCGATATCGTGGGAAAGCTCATGATATGGTGGGGAGGCTCAGGATTAGGAATGTAATAATATCCAAATCTCTCTGTATGATATTTTCACGATATACATCTCACGGTGCGATATTTATTGAGACTTAACCTAAAGAACTATGACTTAAAAGTGCTTAGAACTGTTATTTCTTCTTGTAATCTACACTGAAATGGAGCAAATGGTCTATGTAGTTCCCTCTTTCTTTTTTTTTAGCTATTGCTGCACCATAACTCTTAATTTAAGCAAAGAGACTTGTTTTTCGATATATTGTGATGGTCCAGGATATTATTGTGAGAACTCTGACGATATGATATCATGATATTTCGGTTATTGTTACATCCCTCCTTCATAATAGAGCTAAATCATTTATTTTATGGACATGTCTAGTTGGAATTATTCTGATGAGTATTATAAGTAGATATGTGGTCTGTTTTAAAGTTGCACTGACTTTTCAGGTGGAGGGTTCACCACCTGCTTGTCTACATGGTAATGTTATTAGTTTTGCCTTAAAGGGCACATTATGCCATTAAACACAACTTGACTCTTCACTTAGAAAAGGAGGTGGCACCATTAGGCCAAGTTACAGTTCAGATCTGTGGAGAGATGCACCTACTCAATATTAATGCAAATGTTTTTCAAAGTAATAGTATTATTTTTTTTTTGCTCTAAAATCAGCTCTAATTGAATATGCAGTATCGATAAGTTTAACATCATGCTGTGGAACATTCCTGGCAAAGTCTTCATAGAGATGACATACTGGGGACATCCAGTGTAAGTTACATATTGCACCTTTAAAATCATATTCAATTTACAATGCATTCTCAACAGTTTTATCAGGTTTTATACAGAACAAGATTGCAGCCATTCCACCAACCAATTTATGTATTCCCTCTTTGTCTAACATTGGGTCCACAGCATGTTTAAAATAACAACAGTAGTTTTGCTGAGTGCATCATTTCACAAAGTAAAGCAGGTTTAGTAGCTTATGTAGCTTCTGACAGAGGGATAGAGGTAGTTTTCTTTGCTGACGTGAGATCTCCAAGCACCACACCGGAGTCATGCAAAATGCTGGCACTGCACATAGTACGAAGGTATATTTGGTTACTTTGAAAATATATACGCTGATGATAAGGCATTATATTGTACTCACTAACAGGTGAAGTGAAATACCATAATGATCCTCCATTATAGTAGTGGGTAGGATATGAAATGGGAAAAATATTGATTGCTGCTAGCCCTGTCACGATAACAAATTTTGTAAGGTGATATGTTTCCACAGAGATAAACTACTTTATGCCACTGACACAATAATAATAAAATCTGATTATCCCAGTAAACAAATATGTAAATATACAGAATCATTAAAAGACCTGAGCTGCAACAAATGAATGAACCAATAATTAGCCATAGAAGTTACTTATTCAACCCTCAACAGCTAATTTCTTTTTCATATTACAACAAAAATAACAAAAACATTAGTCCAGAGATTAATCCAGTTATAATTTATTGAACAATAAATCGATATATTAATTATCGTGCCAGGCCTAATTGCTGCTAACATATCAAAAATGCGGATTAGTCCAGTTTTAGACTTTGTTTTCATAGTGGCAGCTTTCGTTGTAGCGACATGTGTTTCCATATAATTGAAATTCCTCATATCGTGTAGTGTGACATCCAACAATCTTATAAAACTAGGCTTTAGACCTGGTTTAGCCCTACTGACCTGATTAAGGCCTGGATTATACCTGGCTGAGGTCTGGATTAGACATGATTTAGTCCTCTGTTAGATTTACGTTAGACCTGGTTTAGTACTGGGTTGGACTTGGTTTGTACTGAGTTAGAACTTGTTTAGACCTGGTTTAGACCTGGTTTAGACCTGGTTTAGACCTGGTTTATTCCTGGTTTAGTCCTAGTTTAGTCCTGGTTTAGGATGCATTCACTCTTCTGCATGTTTGGTTCTAATTTGAGCCCTGTTAGTCCTGATATAGACTTTGTTTTGGTCTTCTTATCGTGCTTGTTTAGTCTTGTCTAGTCCTAATTCAGTTTCATCTTTAGTCTTTAGTCAATTTGGTCTTGTATATGCAAATGTGAACACACCCAAAGCCCTTTATTTGGTATGGGTTTGATTATTGTACAGTCGCAACGTTAGACCTGATTCCTATTTCTGAGCTTTTAGTGCTCTTACTATAATTTTCCATGTGATGTTTTCCCTTCTAGCCCAAACCACTTTCGCCTTTTTCATTTCAGGATTTCAGAAAGTTATTGAAGAAAGAAGATAGACCAATTCTCATGATGTTCTACGCTCCATGTAAGTACTTCCATCCTCCAAAGAGACTAAAAGCAGCTGTTGTTATTTTCCAATGCATGATGTTTTCTTCAAAGGCCCTCAGTTTTGATCAATATAGACTTGGCCCAATCTTCAGTTTTCAGAATCGATATGAATTCAGGTTTTTCATGTCAGCCCCATATTACACTGTGTTGTGTGATTAAAAACGGGCTTAGCGCTAATGGCAACGCTTATTATTTATTTACACACACTTCAACATTTTGTCAGACAGGATCAATATTTCTTGGAGATTTCTCACTAGTATCAACCGGATCTTAGAAATGCAGTGTTTATTGAGTGTTAAAATACAACATTGCCAGTGGCTGTTTCCCATTGTTAAGGTACCACCTACCTTATTACCTTGCCTTGGGTTAAAAAGGGCCTAGCCTGGTAAATCTAGGCTCAAACTCTCCAAGTAGGATTTCCAGTATGGTCATAATCAGGGATGTAAAGATATCAAAATCTCTTGGTGCGATATTTTCACGATATGCATCTCACGGTACGATATTTATTGCAATTTTTGGTGGAGGCTAACAAAATTGTGAATACACAACTTTTTCCTCTTAAAATGCCTTGACAAGACTGAACCCAAATAACTAAGATTTCAGTGCAGACTACATGAACAAATAACTGTTCGAAGCACTTTTAAATGGAGCCAAGGGTCATGGTCGATGTAGTTCTGTTTTTTTTTAGCTATTGCTGCACCATGACTATTAATTTAAGCTAAGAGACTTGCAGTTCAGTTTTTTGTGATGGTCCACGATATTAATGACGATATGATATCACAATATTTTAGTTATTGTTACATTCCTAATAATAATTATGTATATGTGTCAATTTATCGTTAAGTAAATGACAGATTAAACAATATTTGTAGAAATGGGAAACTTTTGTCATTTACCTCGCTACAATAAGATCTGAGCTGTAAGAGGTTGAATAAATAATTTTCAGGCTTAATTATAGATACAATTTAATTAGTTTTATTTTGTAATTTATTTATTCCAGCTCATGTTTTTTTCCACAGTTGTACAATTATAATAAATTCTAGGGATGCACCGATCCAGGTTTTTTAATTCTTATACTGGTATTAATACTGTGTATTTAAGTATCAGCCGATATCTGATATTATCCGATTCAGTGCCAAATGTCATGTTGTTCTCTGCAAATGCAGTTAATTCATTACAAAATGTATCTGATTGTGTTATGTGGCTGTTATGTATCTTGCAAGTTACTACTGAACAGCTTTGTATGAATTAAAGTTCAAATATCATGTGATGTCCTGGGCCTACATCAGTCAGTAGAGAGTCCAAACAGATTTCATAGAACCAATACTACAAATGTTCCTGGATCACCACAGATATTCGATACCAGTGTTGGTATCGGTGCATCCCTAATAAATTCTGCGGCATACTTCAAATAAACATAAAAAACATCCAAATTCAATAACACATTTTGTTCATGCATAGATTTATAGTGGCCTTTTAGCACTGGAACTATGGCGGCAAAAGCAAATTACATTTTAATAAAAAATAAATAAATCTTTGCTAATTTCTGCTACTACGTAAAAAATCTAATAAATAACTATTAAACTCTTAACAATATACGTACAATCTAACACAACACTGTCAGTAGAGTAAAGCTACAAAGCTACAAAAAATACTGTGTACAATAAGTGGCAGTGACTATGGGTCTGTTGCAGCATGGACAGAATAAATGTCAGGTGAAATGACTTGAGTGTTAAAGGTTGGGAACAATTTATTAGAGGTATAATATAATCTCCATTATCATTTATTGCATCAGTGGCTAGGTTTACATGCACACAAAATATCTGATTTTGGGCTTTTCTGACTTGTTATTATAATTATTAAATGTTATGTCAACACTTGCATCTTATTAATGAATAGTCAGATTAGACTGTGTAGGTTTGAACAAGAAAGAGATTACAAAAATTACAAAAAAGGTCAAAACTAATGTGGGAAATATTACATTAAAAAGCCCATTTTATGCTGTTTTCTGATGTATGTTATAATGCTGTTTCCTCAACACAAACATACCTGCATATTTAGAATGAATTCTTCTCACACAACTCTTGGTTTCACCTTATGATGCCATCTGATAATACAGGAAGTGCTCCACTGTGTTTTTCAGCTTTGGAGATGTAGACAAACTAATAATAAAGGGTTAATCAGATGTGTGAATGAAACAAAACATAACTCTGGGTATGTTTTTGTGGTAGTAACAGCATTATAACACATCTTAAAGCCCACAAGAGTCAATTTTACATAATATATAGAAATACAATTACTTCTATGTATTAATGATAATATTACATACATATCATTTGCATTATCCATTTTTGTTCATCTTGCTTTTAGATTATTTGAGCAAAAATTAGACTATATGAGACCACTATAGTAATGAAAAACTATAATAAAATAATCTTGCAGCCTGGCACGCAGCCTTACACAACCTTTGGTACAGATTATCCAACCAATCTCCAGCACGGATCTAAAGCACCCACTCCATCCAGCCAGTGATGCGGACTAATTAACTCCACAATGTCATTTACTGATATTGCTGACGAGGCCGTGTAGTCGATGACCTTTTCAGTGATGTATGATTTCAGCCCAAACAAACCCCATGAAGTAATGTATGGTAAAGATTTAAATGTCTCGTGTACGTTTTAATCAATATCCATTTCTCTTTCGTGTCTTGGTTGCTGTCAGCAGTTTTCTATATCATCTTTCTGACAGGGGATAGTACACTTTGAGAGGCCATATTGATAAAGTGTGTCCGGACTCTTGACGGAAAATCCATAGAGGTTGTATACGTATTGAGAGATGTTCTGGTGTCTAGGGAAGTCTCAGTGGAGAATTTAGAAAGACACTACATTAGCTACTGCAGGGCATACTCTAAGTACATTCACGTGGCCAGTAAAAGTCTGATAAATAGAATAATCAGGACCCACATGTGTGAACACTCATGAACGAATCAAACTCTAGAAATCTGATGATAATTAGAATTTTGTTGCGCATGTAAACCAATGTTATTGTATGTTATTTTATGTCTCTAATAAGTTGACGGAAAGTTAAAAAAGAAGTTGTTAAAGGTCCTATCTTACACAAAATCAACTCTTGTGAGCTTTAAGCCATGTTTTATGTCATTACCTCATCAAAAACTTACCTGGAGTTGTTTTGTTTCATTTACACATTTTTAAGTAACCCTTTATTATCAGTGTGTCTACATTCTTAAAGCTCAAAATGCTCTTTTCCACCTTGTGTTCTCATGAAGTGGTAGTTTTCGAGATAACAGCTAACTTCTATCTTTAGTTCAGAGGAGATTGGCAGTTCGAGGGCTGAAATTATCCACATTGTCCTAGTGAAGGTATGGGCCCTTTAAAGTTTAATTTATATAAAAAAAATGCCTTATTATGAAACATTTGAGACAAAACTAGGTTGTCTCAGCAATTAGTGTTCTTGCCTCACAGCAAGAATGTCCTGGGTTCAATTCCAGGGTGGCGCAGGAGTGTGCAGTGTGTGGAGTTTGCATGTTGTCTTGCTGGGTTTCTATGGGTTCACCGGTTTGTCCTTCCACTAAAAACATGTACAATAGGCTCCTCCCCTCTGGGGCCAGGACTCCCCTGAAAGAGATTCTTAATCTCAATGGGACTGTCCTGGATAACAGTAAAACTATCCTTATCCCCATGAAGACAGACCCTCCAGCAGAAAAGTTACATAATGCACCTTTAGCATTCCATCATTTAATTTTAGCAGCCAATTTTGAGTTTTTTTTACACCATGAAAAGGTAAAGGTATTCAAGAACCTCGTACAGCTTACATGTTACTAGCAAAACTCAGAAAAATGTTTAGTTCAGAAAATTTGAAGTGCTTATGTATATAAATTTAACAAAGTAGATTGTAATTAATGTAGCAATGTCTTGCAATATTTGTGATAGTCCAGTTGAAACTGTCTAATGTTTTCATATTTATGTTTTGGCAACTTGCAGGGTGCGGAGTGTGCAAAAGGATGCAGCCCATTTTTCAGCAGGCGGCCACAGAGACCAAAGGACGATATGTAAGTGTGCACTGTCAGCCTCAAACTGTTTAACCTTGTCCCGATCCTCTCTATCTCCTCCTCTGATCTAAACGCATTGCCCTGGTCAGCACTGAGCACATTAATCCTATAAAAAAAAGTATTGGTTAGTTTGGTAGAATGTGCCCTCTGATGGGGGCAGGAGCCAGTATTCCTGTATTGATTACCTGATATATTAAAGGTCCTATATTACGCAATAATGACTCTCGTGGGCTTTAAACCATGTTATAATGTTGTTTGTTACCTCATTAAAAACATGCTTGGAGTTTTGTTACATTTTATTCACATGTTTGAGTAATACTGCATTATTAGTCTGTCTACATCTCCAAAGCTCACAATGCCCTGTTCCACCTTGTGATGTCATGTAGTGGTAATTTTTAAGATACCTTCTTAAATGAAATTAACCAAATTATTCTAGTAATGGTGCATGGAGTTTAAAATGCAGTGGAGCACTTCCTGTATAATCACGACATCACAAGTTGGAACAAAGTGTTTTCTGTTTGAGAGAAGAACTCAGCCTATATATGCATGATGAATGAAACAAAACAGAACTCCAGGTGTGTTTTGATGAGGAAACAACATTACAACATGGATCAGAAAAAAGCATAATATGGGCCCTTTAAAGGTCCCGTAGCGTATCTGAGCAAAAGTTGTCTTGCCCCAGTACAGGTATATTGTATAAGCAGTTGTTAAGGTCAAAATATGTCCACTGTCTGCATCTAATAACAAAGCGTTTATTGTCCAATAATCAGGAAGTGCGTACTACCAAGCTAATCGTAATAGCTTTTGCAATCACAGCAAAACTCCGCTTTTGTCTCTGAGAGTTGTGAAAAGTGCTTGTAAACTCATCATGGTGAATAACCTGGATGTAAGTGAGGAACAACTCTGGACCACTGCAAACCATTAGAATACATTATAATAATAAAAAATTGTCAGTTTACTCCAGGCTTTCTAAGTGTGATTTTGTCATATTCTGTCACCTTGCTATTTTAATTTGTGTTGGAAATAATGGTTATAATGACATCTGTGTGTTTGAGTAGGCCTGTAACGATAACTGATTTTCCTGGATGATTAGTTCACCAAGAAATTATTGCGATAAACAATAAAATTTACATTTTGAGACCATTTTCAACTAATATAATGACAATGGAATAAAAATGCAACTACACACTTTCAAAGATCAATAAACTCGACTTTCAAAAGAACATTTAACACAGGAACTGCAAGACAAACAATAGGCCTAAATAAAATAGACTTGTTAACATAAGAACAGTCAAATGTAGTTTTGCTGACAGCAAGGACTTGTAAAAAAAAATGTACTTGAGCAAACAATTGTTGAACCAAACACAACCAAAACAATTAATAAAATTGATTATTAAGTCTGTAACAAAATTAAGTTATTTTAGTCATTGACTTACATTGGAATATTGTGGCCCCTCTGTCTGTGCTGCTGTGAGCCTCGACATTTTGGTCTTGAAGTGTTCTTATTAACCCACTCTACAGGATCCTATTTTGCTTTTTTGTCTGTCAAAAAAATCCTATTCATAATATAGAGCCTGGCTTCTCGCTTAGTCCACCTTTTATACAGAGATTGTTGGTCTGCGTCACTTGGCGCATGCTGTGCATGTCTCCTACAGAAAGAGCTCCTGTCCTGTCTGGTATTGTGTCGGTGTCTTGTGGGATTTCAGCAGATTTTGGGCTCTCCCAGTGGCGGGGCTAGTTGCGTCAGTCGGGTATGGTTGTATGTCGGCTGCTGGAGTTTAAGCCATTTCTTCACACTGTTTGCTCGCTGCATTTGATGCATGTGGTCGTTGAGATGTATCCCACTGATTAGTGTTGATTTGACATCATGACTTGTTTTGTCACACTGCGATGAACTGTTTTGTCGCTCTGACGGCGGTGCTAGCGTTGTGACTTCATGTTAACCACACAGACAGCAGAGCTTTCTGCGTTCAGGCTGCGCACAAATAATCCATCTATACCACAGACCATATACAGTCTATACTGACCATGGATCTATGCTGACACCATAGACTGTTCATTCAAGTGTCATTACGCTAAGGAAAGGAGAGGAGTCAGTAGAGAGTGATAGAAGCCTTTTGACATTCAGACATTTTGGTAGAGAGAACAAGAGAAATGAGGAAAACAAACAAGCATGCAAGTAGAAATTATTGCGGCCAGAAAAGTTATTCATCTCGTTAAAAATTATCGTGCAATGAATTGATTTATTGGTTATCGTTACAGGCCTAAGTTTGAGTATTGTTCTTATTGTGTGCAGACTGTAGTTGTTGCAGTTTTGTAGAGGAAAAAAATCTGTTATGGGTCTTGGCGTAAAATTCAGCGAACATTTACTATGGGCAGTGACGATGAATGATGCAATGATAATGTAATAAAACTGCCATGAAAATTTGAGTCCCTGCCCACATAGACTTCAAAAATCATTGCTAACATTAAATAAAAAATATACTCCTTTAAAATTTCCACTATCACGCCCTGGTTAAAGATTGACTGTGTGACTTTTCTGGTGGGGCTGTTATTGCTTTACCTGAAATGTCCCATGGTATGGCATTAAACTGGTCAATAAAGCCTTAATTTTATATAGAATCCATTGGGTCAAATACGATACACAGATGACTTATGTGGTGTAAACCCAGTGTTATATAGGCCCCTTCTCGGATTCTATAATTATGCCATCGCTTTCTGAAATGTCATGAACCCAACCTGTTTTATTCTCCGCACCTGCTCGCATTCTAAACAACCCATGTTCTCATTTGGTATCCTTTATGTAAAACTCTGTAAACAAAAGTTCTCTACACATTGGGAACTACAGATCTACAAAGTGCTGGTTTTGTATGGGCTCTCTGTGGGGGCTCATTTTGATTTCTGACCCAAATATTTTGCTATTGTCGTGGTTTTAAACAACTCAGCATGCTGCCTGTTCTCTATACTTTCATCTGCTAACACATTTGCGCCCTTTAAATTCACAATTCTTTCTCTGCTGGAGTTTTACTCAACTTTGTACTCGCATTTTTGTTTTCGCGATTCACAAGAGCTAAAGCGTATTCTACGAACTTGTTAATCTACCTCCTAATGATTTCCTGGTGACTGGAATGCTCCACGATATGACATTAAAACTATTTGTCGTCTTGGGTGGGGAAAAAAGGCCAAGTTACTAGTCAGATCTGTAGCAAGGCAAGCCAGTTTACAGTAAGAATGTGTTTTTTTTTAGGTACTTGTTTACCAAAAGAACTGCTGTAATTGAATAAATGCAAGAAAAATTTACTGCCAGCGTGGACGAAGCATAAGCAAGTGAAGGCTCTCCATCCAAAATGTTACGCAACGCACCATTAAACCATCATATTATGTCCGATTTTTTTCCCCATTGTTGCGGTTTTGAACACCCCAGCATGCTTCCTGTTCACTGTAACATCTAATAACATTTTTATATTCGTATTTTCGTTTTGCGTCGGCCCACAGGAGCAAAAGCACTTTCTGCAAACTTGCTAATCTACCCCCAGCAGTCTGTTTGTTAATGATTCTGATGCACCATTCGTTTGCATAGGCACGTAATTAGCGCTGCTCTAGATGTGTATCTGTGTAATGCTTTTAGCCAGCACCTGTGACCATAATTAAAAAGCTTCTGTCTTCGCAATTGAAGTTTACAACCTCCCTATAGATTCTACATCAGTTCTGCCTCTCTGCTCATCCAACCAACTTTGAAACTTTATTTTTATTGTGCAAATGTCCGAGGCAGTTTTATCGATACGCATTATGATGACAGATATACTTTTACTTGTGATGTAGATCTCTGCGAAGGCAATTGTCTCATATTGCAATCGTGACAATGTAGTTCCAAGATATGGACTCAAACTTTTTAAGTTTGGGTAAAAATTTTCTTAGCCTGGCGCCCCACCCTTTGTGTTTAGAATTTTCGAAACTAAAAATATCAAGTTGGTAGTTTGCAATTGTGTAAAAGTGCATCTGTTTTGTATACCCTTTAAGTAGATCTGCAGTATTATGCAAAATCAACTTTTCAGAGCTTTTAAAAGTGTATGACAGATTTTTATGGTTCTCTAATTTCTGTTTAATTTGGTGGGATAAAACCTGTTGTATATATAAATTATAGTTTTACACCAGCCATGAAACAATTTGCAGAGGGAAGTTGAAAAATACGTTGAAAATTACAGGAAGCAGAAAGTGATGACATCTCACTAGGAGAAGTCTATTCAAAAGTTTGGCACAATTTACACACATGAATAACTTTTTTTCTGGCATTTTCTTGTGTTTTTCTTGTGTTTTATTAATCAAATTCTAATTTCTGTGTACTTTAGAGCAATCTTGGCCCAATTACATTGTGTTTGCTAGGTTACAGTTATGGACTTCCCTAGTGTGATCTCACAATTTCCAGCTATAGGAAGTACAATTTTAAGCCTAAAAAAATTGCCAAATTGGGAAAAGGAAAATTTTAATCTTTAGTAAAATCTGAAATATAATGATCTTAACTGTTTTGAAATGTGAAATGTGTTGTCCAACCTGTCATAGGGACTTTTACCATGTTATAGTTGTTTCCCCTTCTCATTTACTCTCTCAAAGTTGTATTTGGAGTGATTCGTGCACATTTGAGAAATCTTTAATCACCTCCATTTTGCCGATCAACTCCTGTTTTCACCACCACCAGAATCCGCCCACTGCTCTGTACTTCATTTTTCAGTTTTATTTTTTTAATTGCTGACATGCGTAGGATTCTGCAGGGTTGTGTATTCATTTTGTTACAAATGAAAAAAAAAAAAAAAAACATCTGCTACTCGCTAACGTTGTAGATTACAACTACATAGCAGGCTCAGGCACAATGTGTTCTTTAAAACAAAACTTTTAAAATATTGTGCCATGCATCTTTTTGGACGTCTGTCTCTATTGAAAGTTTTCCAGAGTATAAAACCATTACATATCTTATGTGTATGTATCTTATATAACTTGTTTGG